GGGCAACTGAGGTTTTGTTCATAAAATCTTTTCCTACACCAATGTCTTCAAGACTTCTACCTAATCTCTGTTCCAACTGGTTCAGAGTTTCTTTTTTTGATATTTAGATCTTTAATCTATTTCAATTTTAATTTAGTGCATGGTGAGAGATATAGGTCTACTTTTAATCTTTGACAAGTTGAAACCAATTTTTCCAGCACCATTTATTAAAGAGGCTATCTTTCCTCTAGTGAGAGTGTTTGGCTCCTTTATTGAAGATAAGATGGCTGAGTGTGTCTGGCATTGTTTCTTCATCTTCTAATCTGTTCCACTAATTCTGCTATTTTGAAAACAACAATTCTCATGTGACACAACTTCTCATTAAACAAAAATTGAATCTGTTTTTATTACACAATTGTGAAAAAGCTATGGTACACATAATTAGCTATGAAGGCAGACTCATAATTTTTGTGAAGGTAATTTAGTCTACTTAACCTACTGAGCATCACAGCTTAGAAAATCAGAACCCTGTGGAACACAAGTTGTTTCCCCTTGTAATCCTGCAGCTCACTGCCATGGCTTAGCATGGAGAAAGGCCATAGTACCGTGTATTACTAGACCAGGAGAAAAGATCAAAATTCATATTTCATAGTGTGGTTTCTACCGAGTATACTTTCACACTATTGTGAAGCTAAAAAATTATAGATGAAGCCATTGTAAGTCAGAGACTGTCTCTCTGTTGACCTTGTAGAATTGTTTTAATGATGAAGTGAGATACCACACACACAAAAGCATAGAACTGGCACGGAAGCCTACATATAGCTTGACGTTCAATAATTCTGCTACTCTTTCCTTTTATCTGCAAATTCCTTCACACATAAAATTTTAATGCATTTGGTCATTTTGCAGAAAGGATGATATGGTGCCATTTTTAAGTGCAGAGTGAGTTCTCTGTCTTCTTACCTGGTGATAAAGTGCTTCAGGGTAATCCTGAGTCATTAATCGAAATAGGGCAAGGAAGGCCCACCCCAAATTGTCAAAATTTGAGGAGCCATGATCAGGATTTTTGCCAGCTTTCACACACACATATCCCTCAGGACATTGACTAAAGACAAAGAAAAGAAAAGAAAAGTAAAGAAAAAGTGCTTAGATGACTTTCAGATTATAGCCAAGTCATAAATACAGAACATATGCTATATGTGAATAACAGAGGGCTCCTCATTCCACAGGATGGCATTAATCTTCCCTCCAAAACTTTACAGTCAAAATGGTGCAAATTAGATTTTAGGTTGATACACATGGATAAGGTTAAGCTAAAATAAGAGCCATCAAGATAGTTTTGCTAAGCATTTATATTTTTGCATTAATTTATGTTTTAATTGTCAAATAAAAATTGTGTATATTTATTATGTATAACATGGTCTTTGAAATACGTATACATTGTGTCAAAAGGCTAAATTGAGTTAATTGGTGTGTTCATTATATGACATGTTTTTTACCTGGTGAGAACACTTAAAATCTAATATCCTGACAATTTTCTAAAAAAGTAAAATCTTGTTACTTATCATAGCATTATTTTTTCAAACAAAATTCATAGCAAAAATACAATTACAGGAAAACCGTACTGATAAAAATAAAACTGCAATAATTGAGACATTAATTTTCAAATGATCTTACTCAAACCCTTAGATTCCATTACTTAAGGGTGAAAAAACATTTATTACATCAATAATTAATAAGCGCTTGGGGAGAAGGAGTAGATTAAATATTTATTTCCTTTTAGGGAGTCTTCATCCTTTACCTAGTGAAGTGCATGCGTGTTGTGGTCTATTATTGCAGTAGTAGCCAAAAAAAATCATATTTTCCTCTATCCAAGCCCTTACATCTTTCTGTCTCACATTATCTACCAGGAAATGGCCGAAAACTGAACCCCTACAGCCACCTTGTAGGGCGCCGTGGGCGCTGCGGGGTGGTGTGGGCTACCGACTGGCGGCTGATCCTGGACTGGGTGCCTTACATAAACGACTAGTTTAAGAAGGATGATTAGTCCCTTGTGGAACTTTCTGGTGTCTGATGGTGCCTGATGCTCCGACCACAGCGCCCCTGTGTTCAGAGAGCCCTGGGGACAGACACCAAGGACACTCACAGCGCAGCCTGGGACTTTCTGTGCTGCTGAAGAGTTTTGATATTTTAATTCCCAGAGCATTAAACCTTACTCTCAAATCTGAAAAAAACCCCAAAACAACAACAACAACAACAGCAAAAAGCCACTTGGGTTTTGAGGCTTGTAGATGCTTATCTTCAGAAACTGAGCAAATGAATTTTTGTTCTTAAATTAGGTCACTAAGGAGGGGGTGGTTTATCATATAGGAAAATGTAATTGCTATAGGTGAACCATTGTATGGCTTTTTCTTCTTCCCTTAAAATGTATGGTTGCGTTCTGAAGATTCATAACCAGACATCTTTGAAATGCATTTCAGGTCATATTTGAGTTGGGGATATACATAGAAAGAGTAAGTTGAAGTAGAATGTTATACAAAGAGGTGGATTCACAAATTGGATAATTGGAGAAAAAAAATGGAAGCTCAACTGAAGCTGGAAAAAAAGATCTATGCCAAGTAAGTGAAAAAATACAACTATACAACTCATGCTTCTTCTTTGATTTACCTTTTGTCAATCTGAGCCCCAGAACCTAAAAAAGAGCTGACTTATGGATTGATTTCAGTTCATCCCAACTAAGCAAAGCAACACAGGGAAACAGTGTTTTCAGGTCCACAATGGTGAGAAGTGCCCTGGTTCTACTTATTTATTTGCTCTTTCAAAAATATAGGACAGTAAGACAGAGCTTTATTTTTTCACTAAATTATTTATAGTGTTTTAAAGAGTAGTAATTTTTATTAATGTAAACTATCGCCATAAAAGAAATAGATGACATAAATAAATGAAATAGTGGCATATCTTTAATATTTCTCTTTTGTAAGAGAACAAATTTATATTGTCTTTCTTTGTAATTCTCACAAGTGCTGGAACACACAAAAAACACCAAGTCAGATTCTTGCTGAAGTCCCAGCTCTGAGATTTACCAGTTTCTTGACCTTGAATCAATTGCCTTTGGGTTTTCTCTGAATCTGAATTAATATTATTCCATATTGCAGATTTCAGCTCTGGTGAAAATTCATGTGTTTAAATTCTGAACGCTAAAGTGATATATTAGGAGGTGTCACATTTGGGAAATGATTACATCAGGAAGCAAGGCCTCATAAATGTGATCAACGACCTGAAAAATGAGACCCAGGGGAGACTTTGTAGCCCTTCTGCCTTACAAGAATATAGCAAAAAGGCACCATAGGCAGGCTCTCACCAGATAGCACATTTGCTGGCACCCTGATCTGAACTTGAGCCTCTCACATGGGAGAAATAAGTTTCCGTTGTTTACAAACTATGACATCTATGTTACTTTATTTCATTGCCCACAAATGGATTAGGATAACTTCTCTGCATTTTTCTAAAAGGTCTTTTGTGATCTTTTTATTTTTCTTCTTTGGCACCAGGGATTGAACCTAGGGCCTCATGCTTGCTAGGCAGGAGCCCTACTCTTGAGCTATGTCCTTAGCACTCACCATGATTTTGATCATAAAATGAGATTAAAAATATCAGAATCAACTGGGAATCCAGCAGTAAAAGGAATAATCATTCAATAAGTACCACTGATGGGTGACTCTAAATTGATAGAAGAAAACATTAGAACTACTTACCTAGCATCTGTTCTGTTGCCACAAAGTAGAGCATCTATTTCTCCTTCCAAAAAATAAAAGTTTTCTGTTTCTGAAAAATAGGAAAGAAATGATGTTCTGTATCTAATCTGGAGTTAGCAGCATCCAGGAAGTTCATTTTGACCTGCATAGAAGATGAACATTTCTGTACAGATGAAAGGCAGCAAATATCTTGGCCTTTTGAACCTACTATCTCTGCACAAGCCAAGAGGCCTTCGGGAATCTGGAAGCTTCATTTTCCTGGAAGTGACAAGGCTGAGCAAAGAAAGAGGAACATTTCTTCCAAGATTAAAGTTCAGAAAAATGCTTGAAACCAGCAAGGTATGACCAATCTTTGAAGAAAAAATTCTAAAGACTGAAAGGTGACTGTGATATTTCCACGGTCTATTTCTATTGATCTGCTTGAGCAAGGCCTGATCTGGCACTGAGTAACCAGTACTAGCTGTTTTCTCTCCCGTCACCTAATTTCAAACATAATTATACTATATAAGTCATAGTCCACAACATTTCTCCAGCTGTCCTAATCTTGTGTGAATCAAAATGTAATTAAATGTAAATTGTGTATTTGTAGAAAATCAGATACTAGTAGTGTATTATTTCTGAATACAAACCGCAGAGCCCAAACCCATAAAATTACACATATATATTTATATTTTCATACAGTGGAATCACTGGAATTTCAACTAATCTCACTTTTATTTGTCACTTAAAATTATTTAACAAGACCTTTAAAGCCATAAATAATTAGGTATCTTTGATCAAGCTTTTTGAATGACAGTCAAAATCCCAATGAAATTGACATAGCAGCACTAGATAATGCCAAATTTTCTACTTGCAAGAACTGCGCCATGGCTATTAGGTTAAAAGTATCTTATAAAGAAAATATTTTTAACAATTCATAATGTATCATTTGGGGAAACGTAGTAACTAGAATGGCACAAAGTTTAAAGTGGTAATGTGTACAGGCGGTTTATTCTTAATATAATATCACACTTCAGCAAAAATGAAAAAATTTGGGCTCTGTTTTCCTAGAAATAACCAGTGGAGTAACAATTGCACATATTCAAGTAATTAGCACATATTTGTTACAGTGTTAAAGAAACAAAAGGATGCGAACGGGAATGCAAGATTTAATGTCCATCTCCTTTGGTCCTCACCACTAGGGCAATGACATAGGCATGTCACACACTCATCTAAAAATAATTCTACATTGTTCACATGATAAATCGAACACTTCAATTTGCTTACTAATTTACTTATTATTTAAAACTTATATGCAAAATGTAAATAAAAATTACAATAGAAAGACTACAAAGATTTATGAACATATAAAATGGGCTTTTTAAAAAAAATTTTCAGAAAAGACCTTATAATTTTAATATGAAAGACAAATCTAATAAGGACATGTGATCTAAAGGAAAGGAACTAGTTTAAAGAAGATTGAGCTTGATTACAATCATAGTATTGCTGCCTAGTAGTGATAATACCTTGAGACACTCACTTAATATCTTTGCATTCCCATTTCATTGCTTGAAACAAAGTAGGGAATATCAATGCCTCTTCTTAAAAATTATGATGAAGATATGAGAAAAGGCATATGAATTACTTATGCATAAAAATTAAGTAATGTCTATTCTGCATTATTTTTATGTTCAAAATATATTTATTAATGAAGGTAGAACTCAAAGTATTTTAGGTACAGAATTGTTATTGAAATCCAACAATAGTAAGAATTTCTATAATGCAGGCCATTTTGACTTTTAACTTCATCTCAAAAATTTTAATGAGTACATTTACATTCATTGAAGAATGGAAATATTACAGTACAAAAATCCTGCTTTAAGATATCTCTAATGAAATTGTAAATAACATTATTGTACTTTTCAAAAGCATTTGCAAAAATTTAAGTTCTCCTGATTTACTGTCTGAAGATTGGGAACTTTCCTAACCTCATAAATGAAACTGATTCAAATTTGTACTTGAGCATAATAGGGCATTTAAGTAGTTGGGTTTGACACTGAATGTTTATTTCTGTGAAGACTCCTCTGCCTTTAAGAATTTCATACTTTTTACACAGATGGTGAATAATTCTTACCTCGAATATAATATGGGTTTCCAGTTCTGTTGTATAGGGTTTCATTTTCATTTCCCTGGGGCCACCACAAACATTTGTGCTTCAGGTTGCCCATAAATAGTCCCATCCCAATTAGAGAAAATATGCTCAGAAAAAAGACAGTTAGGATGATGGCACCAGTAAGTTGCTTCAGGCAATGGATCAGGATCCCTACAAGTGACTTCAGACCTGGAAAGAGAAATGTGTGTTTACGATAAAATGGCCATCTTCCTCTTTTGAAATGAACACATCTGTCTTATTTAAGTCTCTTTATCTAGATCTAACAATGTGAATAAAAATCAAACTTTGATGTTTCTGTATTATGACTAATTTATAACACTTGATGAAATAATTCAGATGCAATATTTCAAATGAATTTTTGCTTGTGTCTCTTTAATATATAAAGAAAAACACTTTTTCTCTTGGATATGCTTGCCATACCAGCTACCACCGTCAAACACAAGCAAAAGTACTGTATAAAGGTGTAAATAAAAGTGGGCTGAAATTGTTCAAACAATTTAAAGCTTCAGTGTTCTACATTTTTCTTTAATTAGCTACAATAATTCAATTTTGGCATTAGTTAAATAAAACGTGTGGATAAAAATGTATAGTAATAGTTATCGGTAATGTGAATAATACAACTGTGATATAAGGAAGCTATTTATATGAGAATTCTGACTACTTCAGAATTCTAACTCAAAGCTGGGTTTATTGAACTTTCATTTCTCTAACTATTAAATAAGAACTGCTAAACACTGAAAACGGAAAACAACAGAAACAAAAGCAATGCAATTGTACCTCAGGCTAGATTGCTATTAATATTTTTGTGTATAAGCTGATTTTCTTCCTCTGTCCTTTTCTTTGTTTCTCTTTTTCTATGCTGTCTTCCTAGTTTTTGGTCTGTATGTATTTAGGCTCCTACTAACTGCTCAGCTCAAAAATATATGAGGGAATATAGCAGCTTTGTGATACTGAGGAAATTATCAACAATTTATTTTTGGTACTGGGCATTGAATTCAGGATCTTGCGCTTTCGAGGCAGTCAGTGGAACCACTGAGCTAAATCCCTGGCCCTATTATCACCATTTTTATGGCTGTTTTATTAGCATTAAAATTAGAATACTTATTTCACTTCTTACTGTGTGAGTTGAAAATTTATGTACTTATTTGTTTGTTTATTTGAAAGCATGGTCTCCCTATATTGCTCATTCTGGTCTCACACTCCTTGACTTAAGGGACCCTGTAGATTTAACCTTTTGAATAGCTAGAATTATGTGGGCAAGACAGCCTATACAGCAAACTTTTTTTTTTGATACGTGTATTTCCCTTATGACTCATTTTATCTCCCCTGGTTCAATTTTATTTCTCTTGTATTTGGATTAAATATGTCTGCTTTGAGAGATTATGTCAAATTTCAACTATTATTTTAAACTAACATGTAAATCTCTACATAAAAAATTGTAAGACTAAGTGCTAGGGTGCACTTAGTGGAAGAGTACTTCCTCGCATGCCAGAAGCCCTGGGGAAGTCCTGGATTAGATTTTCAGTACCACGGGTGGGGGGGGGGGAGACCATATCATCTCTTGTTCCACCATGTAACATAAGGAAACAATGATAATTAGTTTATCACATTTTTTTCTATTCCAGTTTCTCAGATTTTATTAATGTAATTTAGGACTTTGACAGTTACAATAGTAAAACTATGATATGTTGTGTATTATGCATAATTTGACATGATTTATAGGACAAGAAACATTCAAATTTTTGCAAGGGCTTGTCAGAAAGGTAAAATTCATGGAGCAGGAGTAGAGAGGACTTGGATGGAAATGCCTAACCTATAAAGGGAAGCTGCTTCATACCTACAATGTATACCTGAAGTGTATTGCCCTTCAAAAATAAGTGTGGATCATAGGGCTGGGGATTTAGCTCAGTGGTTCCAGAACCTGCCTCACAAGCACAAAGACCTGAGTTTGATCCCTGGTACCAGGAAAAAGAAAAGCGTGAATCATAGTTTACAATAAATCTGAGTTTATTTAGATTTTAGAAAAAATTACCAGAATTTTATAATGTTAGCATTTATTTCAAAGTTTTCTAAAACACAAATAAAATACGTCCCTAATTCAAGAATGGCTCACAGATAATGTGGTAACCATTGACTTATAACCTACAAACAACAGTAATTTCAAATTTATTCTCTTTGAATTGTTTCAGAGCTCAATCTGATTTATTCTGGACTTACATCTTGCCATTGTTGGCTTTTTACTTTCAAATTTTTCATTTTCATTTCTTTCTTTATAATTATTCAGCAAAGATAAAGATGCAAAATTTAATAGCTTTTGCATGAATCATAATATTTTTCTGTGGACTTCACATATGAATGATATGCGTATTTAGAATTCTAGTTTCACAACCTCCCTGCCCACACTTCCCACACACTATTATGAAGATATCTAAGAATGCCTTTTCATAGATCTGTATCTCTGCTTAATTGCTTACAGGATTTATATACTATTCTTTAATGCTCTATAATATCTTAGACTATATCTAAGAATGTCCTTTATTATTATTTGTTTATATAAGATGAGACCTTTCCATTTGTAAGTAGATTTTTCCTCCAGTTAAAAAAATTTAAAAAATTTTTTAACATATTTTAGAAAAATTTGTTTTTTAAGTTTATTTGTCCTCTTTTTCAGAATCACCAGTTATGCATAAAATGGAACTCAGTTTTCTCTCTTCCATTGGTCTAGCTCATTTTTGCTTCGCACAGAACTTCTCTAGTCTTTTTTCACACAGTGTTATTGTACACTTCATTTTACTGCTCTTATGACCATTGAATATTCACCTTAGGGGTCATAATTTTTTATCACTTTTTCATCTTAAAATTATTTGCATTCATCTATTTATTGTCATATTTTTATCTTTTGCCTGAGATAGGCTAGCTTTTCCTTTATTGGGACTAAAGAACAGATGATTTCTTTGCTCCTATCTTTATACACATTTGTAAAGTAGTACTTACCTTCTCTGGATTTCGTGAAGCTGCCAGGCCACAGACAATTATTTTTGTTAAACAGCTTCATGGAGATATAATTCAGAAGCCCTAGAATTCATGTGTTTAATGTGTGCAATTCAATGCTTTAGAATATTCATATGTTGTGAGTTCATTACCACAACCTCCTCTCTAATATGTTTTTCTGTTTTGTTCAGTCTGGACTCCAGGGTACACAGAGCTGGCCTTCTTCATAGTGTTCTGGTCCATGACAGACCTCACTTTAGTATCATTACATTTGGCATTGGATTTTTGATGGAATAATATCTTAATACTTTCGACTTACAGCAGCCAAAAAGCTATAAAAATTGTTCCTATCAGATCGTACTCATTCAGAACAAATTAGAAGTTGTTTGTTGGTGACCTTCTGCCAGGATATGTTCAGAAATGGAAGCTGTAAATCAGGCCTCAACATCTGCCAAAACTGTGAACACAGTTCTCTGTTTTTTTTAGAAGAAACTCCCTGAACTTTGTGGCATGTGGGTTACATCTTATCCAAGCATTCAAAGCAAAAAAGAAATTGGTAGTGTTTTATATTACTTGGTTCATTTCAGTTGGTTTCTTGATGCAATGAAGAAAAGGAGGAGGTATACTAGACATCTGTCTGAGCTATCCTTAGAAATATAAGAAGAGTTTTATAAACTCATATTTTTAAAATGCAAAAAAATAAAAGTGTAATGGATTAATCTATATTTTGATATCATAAGCATTGAACCGGTACCATGTAAATAACAATCAAATGTATTTTTTCTCTCCTTTTCTGGGGAAACTAAGTTTAAAGATCAGATGACTCTTTGGTTTCAAATAGAAAATACCATCAATTTAACATTTTCTCTGAGGAACAAGAGAGTTCAAATGACTATATGGAAGAATGTATATCACAATGGAAAAAAATAATCCAATGACATTTCTTACCTTGGTTTAAAGGAATAATTTTCAAAATTCTCAAAGTTCTTATAACTTTAAGCATGTGAGTTAAGTTTAGAGGTGAGAACCTTGTTATAATCCTGTAGAAGTAAATTAGAGTTATTCAGAAGTCATACTGAGTTGTTCATCTTTTTATACTCCTTGAAATTTATTTTAAAATTATGTATTGAAGCATTTTACTTATTCACATTCTTCCCATTTTTCAAATAATTTTATTATTAGTTAGAAGAAAACAAAACAAAACAAAGTAGAGAGGAAATATTAATCAATAAACTTCAAAAATGAGAATTTATAATAGTTTGAAGCTAAATGCTCTTAATTACATATCAAATATTCTACATTATTTTTATAAGGTCTGTGTTATCTTATTACTGAAAATATAGATAAATAAGAAAAGTTAATACAGTTTTTAAAGGAGTGGGATTCACTTGAAGTATTTAAAGTGCTAAGGGTGTTCACAGTGACAATAATGATGATGATGGTGATAATCTGGCAGTGTCAAACATGATGATGATGACTGGTGATTGGGTACAGAAGGTAGGGTGCATATCAATTAAAGGACAGGCTCTGGGGCCAGACTGCCTGTGTAGACATGTAGGTTCCATTATTTAGTAGCTGTCTGATGGGAAAGTCAGCTGATCCTTATCCCACAGTACATTCAATTGTTTTTGTTTTTCTTTGGTACCAGAAATCCAACTCAAGGCCTCACACTTGCCAGGCAGGTGCTGCACTGCTGAGTTACATCCCTGGCCCTAGTATCTCCAATTGTAAAATGGAGATAATATATCTCAATTCAGAGGTGTGTTGTAAAGATTAAATGAAATAATGTATCTAAGTGTATAAAAGAGCACCTGGCTCTTTTAAGCGATAAGTTAGCTAAATATTACCGGGTAATAAGAGGAACAAGAGACAAATAATCACAGTAATTATAGAGATAGGAATACAACAATTGCAATGATACTTGCAATTATTTTTTATTGTTGACAATATAGCAGACACTGCTTATACTCTTTACAAAAGTTATTTTTAAGAAAAATGACCAATAGAAAGCTACAAATAGCATATCATTTAAAATTATTTTTAATGGGAATGTGATGGCTGTGATCATTTCCATATCTATAAAATAAAATACACTAAATGGAAAAAATAGATATGAAATAATTAGAATTGGGCATAACATTTTTGTTTGTGTTTAAAGTAAACCCAAATTACATATAAGGAGCAAAATAAAAGACAGATAAGAGGAAGTAGGGAGAGAGATCTTTCTCAAATTGCAAGGGGATCGAGAGATGGAGAGGGGAAGGAAGAGAAGGGAATTAAGATGTGTTATGTGCATGTACCACCTTTACATAAAGAATGTAAGCATGTATTGCAAACAAGACTAAAAATATATAAATACATACATAAAATCTTGGCAAAAGATTAAGATGTTTGCCACTTGAAGAAATACTTACTCGAACAAAGTCACACTGAAATCGAGCCAGTGCCATGGATCCCCAAAGAAAGAGAAAGGTCCTGCCCAGATACCTCTGGCAATGACTTTTACAAGAATTTCAAATGTGTAAATTCCAAGCAAAGTATGTCTGCAGAAAAATTTTTATATCAGTAATAAAAGTAAGAAGAGTACATTGTCCATTCTGAAATACTATGTTTATAATAATTATATGGTATTTGAAAATAAGTCATGAAAAAATCAACACATTTCTGTTTGGCAGGCCAAAAACAGCCAATCAGATAACAGTCAAAACAGCAAGTGCCCCTTGGGCCTCTCAGCACAATGCTTTTAGTTTCTAGGACGACTATGCTTCATGGTGTCAGCCATGAAATTTGACTGCAAATTTCTTTCAACAAGTCTTCTTTCAACACGATGCTTTCATATTACTAAGGTTAATGATGACAATATCAAATTTACTCCACATGGGATTGCATAATAATTAATAATAATAGCTAATTGAATGTACAAGACCTAATTTATGATCACCACATATAAGTAATTTTTTAGTGAATCAGTATTAAATATACCTTCCAAAGTCAACAATGTTTTGTTTTTGGTACCAGGGATCAAACTTAAAACTGCGCTTACAAGGCAGGTGGCAGCACCAACTGAGCTAAATCCCAGGCCCAAAAGTCAACAATGTTTAAGAGTACAGTTCTGGAAATAACTTTAAGAATGCTTTCTTCCCTAGAAAATTTAATGGGCCTTTCTATCTTTGAAGTCTAATCCAAAGGAGACTATTCACATTTCTTAAGAAAAGGAAGTAGGATAGAACATTAACAATTTCTCAATGAATGGAAGGTTTTCTGAGCTAGAAAAACTCATTTATGGTGTTGCAGTAGTAAAGATTCAGGACACTGAATTATTATATTAATCATTAATAATCAAGTTTGCAATAAAAGCCCAACTGCATGATACCATGAAATAAATTTGCAGCTAAAGAATCAAATATTAATCTGATTTACTGAAAAACAGATGCAATTAAAATCTAACTAAGAATAATGAAAGGGCAGAATATCCTAAAATTGATGAAATGACAAATGTTTGTTTTTATTTGGAAATTCATTCATTATTATGCATATGTAAATACTACATTATATACTATAAATATGCTACAATACATAAAGTATAAATATTTAATTGTGTAATGTAACATGTAATTTATTAAAATATAATATTAAAATAGATAAAATTCTAGGAACAAGATATTATACGGGATACTATGTAAAATAAAATTACATAACTTACTCTAATGCTGGTCCCCATTCTGGCAAATTATTCATGGTCATGAGTATGCAATCTGTGAGGACACTAATTAAAATTAACAGTTGGAAAAGAGTAGGTAACAGTCAAGGAATAATGGGTAATAAACAACATTAGAAAAGATATATTTCTGTAATCTGTCTTGATATGCATTTGGGATAAAATATATTTGTAAATATTTAATATATATATTACTCTTGCTGCAAAACCAATAAAGATGTAAATTAGTATTTGTTAATTTCTACTACTATCAAATTAAATTATATTATATTAAATTAAAGCAGTGTAATCCAGGTTTCAATGTAACATGGGACATCAAAACAGAAAGAAAAACCTTCAAGGGGACTGGGATTTAGCTTAGTGGTTTTGCCACCTGCGGTGGAAGCACAAGGACCTGAGTTCGAGCTCCAGTACCAAAAAAGAAAGAAAGAAAGAAAGAAAAACCTTCTGCAGGGATAGTTGAATAATAGAATATTTGATTTGGTATTAGTGCCCTTTAAAACACACTCAAGCAGCCAAAAGAAAAGGATATGGATGTATCAATACTTTGATAGTTGTTCCTCTAATAGTACTGAAAGGAGATAAAGTACAAAAGATGGAAGCAGCATTAAATCTGAAGATGGTTCTGTTTTTATTCAATACCATGAAAGTCTATAAGGAGAAAAAAAATAAGTGAAATTGGAATGTAGAACTATTGTGATATCCAACCTGACTCCATTTTGTGCCTCATTACCACCCACCCCCATTTTATGTAAAGTCAAGTCATTCTGGGTGGTGGCCTCTCCCCACCTTGGGAGTCCCCTCAGTTGATGCATGACAGATGCTGCATCCCATTTGGTAGAGCAGTCTGCAACTGTATGTTATCTTTATGACCTTGTGGACAGAACACTTTCCACCTGTGCGATATTTTGTTTCGACTAAACTGTGTAAAACTTCCCTTGACCCCCTACTAACTTAGCAAAGTTCTGCTTCTGTAAAATTCTGCTTGTGCTCTCCCTCACCCTGAGTGCTCCCCAACAAAAAGAGCTGCTTAAAAGAAACCCAAATGCCAGTTTTTGGAGTTGAGTGCTTTCGGCCCAAGCCACCCTTGAACACCAGCAATAAAGGACTCAAATTTGACTCAGAGTGTAGCGATTCTCTATAATCTCTAGGGAATGAGTATAACACTGTAAGATCATCAATTATGCAATATTGCAATGATTAGCACAGTTATACTTTTCTTCTTTTGAGTACTCTTTTACAGCCTAAGTCAAATGGAAATGCATTTATTACTTTCATTCATAATTAGGCTTAACAACTTATCTATAATTTTTTTTTGTTTTGTTTTGCCAGTTTTATACTGAAGACAAAACCAAGGACATTAGAAAATAAATCCAGTTCCTCAGTTAGTCCTGGTCTTGCCATGGTGCAACTCAGGGAAAAGCTTCAAGGACAGGTTATTGTAAAAAGGGCTGTTTTCAACAATATGTTACTTAATGGCTTCAATTGTAATGTCAACTTAGACATCTGCCAGATTAACTTGACTTAAACAGTGTACTCATCACCTCAGTCCTTTGCTCACTAGGTTAAAGTCATGCTGATATTTCCATTACTTCATCTTATTCCCCACAAGTTACGGCACAGCTAAGTTTCCAGGTATAGCATCCCTCATTCTTTTCTTTATTTCAGAATCATTCTCTATCCTTGCCTCTTCATAAAAAGTCTTTCCTTTGCATTATTAAAATTTGAAGAGTTTTTCAAGCTATTGCTCAAGTTTTTCTTTCCTAATGAAAACTCTTTCAGCTTTACTAGTCTATACAGTCTGTCTTTTCTAAATACAATTTGTTCATATTTGGCATTCTGTACTTGTTATAGGATTAGACAGACATTAATATGTACCTGAAGTCTTCCTGGCGATAAAGTGTGAATATATGAATGTATGGATGAGTACACATGATGAATATAGGTTGAGCACTTTCCTAACTTTTGAGTAAGCTCATCAAATTAGCTGTTCTAAATTTTGTATATTCTAGACATTTTAAAGTTATTTCAAGATTGATAACCATAAATAGTCAATCACCATACTATCATAAGTCATTTATATTAAGGTATATCAATACATATATTGAGAAGTAAACAAAACTACATAATCAGATAAGTTACTAGTCTTGATAAAAATCTTAAATACATGTACTCCCAAAATAAAATACTCAATGTAGTTTCATATAATTAAAAATTATCTTTGTGTGTTGTTCATTCTCTATTTTCTACCTTAATTACAATTTTTGCACATTTGAAAAATAACATAAAAATGTAGTCACAATAGTTTCAATTAATTCTTACTTTTTTGTTCCTGTAGTAGTATGGGTCCACATCTTCCAAGGGCTCTGACACCATCCCTCCAGAAAGGCTTCCATAAATAAGTGGGAGCTTTTTGCCAACTTCCAAATCAGGATTCGGCTTTAAATCATCATCTTCATTTTCCTCATCGTGTTTCTTAGCGATGTGCTGCTTTATAAGTTCTAGAGACTTTTTGCTGAAGGGAACAAGGCCCTTCAGTTCTGGGGAAGCCATTATTTCCAATTTTGTACCTGAAAGAAATTAATTTTCTTCAGTTTGATAAAGAAGTTGGATTTATTAAGAAAAATAAATAAATTTGCAAAAGGTTAAAATGTGAAATATTGAGACAAATTGAATAAGTACTTTCAAAGAACACATTCAAGAGTTTTGCAGAAATCTAAGTTGTTCTGAGTTTTATTGTACTTAGCATTACACTTCACTTGTAATTTTATAAATTACTCAATCTACTTCATCTAGTCATTACTTGAATGTTCTTTATTTTATTGAAATCTTTATCTTTTTCAGTTTAATAAAAGAGTTCTAAGGTTGTTAGAGACATTTTTTGTAGTCAAATTCAATTTTCACATGAGCTGTACATAACCATTAATTGGTCTCCCCTAAATGTAGCATTCCTTGATCCTAGACCATACCCTTCTGTGGTCTTTTTATGTTTTTCATCACTTCCTTTGACTCAGTCTTAGTAAAGACAATTTTTTTTTCAGTGCTAGGAACAAAAACCAGTGCCTCTTTCCCTGAACTACTCATCCAGCAATATGGGTCAAATTTAACTTATATTTTAACTCCAATATCCTTACAAGTTTTGCCTTCTTCTTCTATTACATCCATTTTTCTGAGGAATGTTCATAGAGTTTTAATTAGTGTCTCTATATGGACATCTACCAAATGCATTTCTCAAAACACTTTCTTGCCCAAGATGTGATAATTTTACCAAAGGCAGCAATTTAACAGGTGAAAAAAAAAGTATTGTCTTTCTGCATGACTACAATCATTCCAACCTTTGAGTTACTGCATGAGCAAAAACACAAATTCATTACCCTGAAAACTACTGACAATCTTTTCCTATCATCAACCCTTCTGACTAAAATGAAATTTTTATAATTTTTCCATTATATGTCTTCAACATTATACATTTCTTTACCCAACTGAAGGTGGCCATGTTTGTAATACTATATTTGAGATGTTCTAGTTGCCTTCACATGTTTCAACTTTAGTCTTTATCCATTTTAATTCATCTTCCAGAGTCATGTTCATCAAATATAATTTCATGTACCAATTCTCAGTTCATGAATCTTGTTCTTTTTTCACACATAAAAATGTATTATTTTGCTGATTTGTTCATGTCTTTATGTTTTGTCTCTTACAGTGCTGGTATTACCTGAGTTCCTTCTACAACAGTTTTCTAAGACAGAAATCACATACATTCACACAAATACACTCCCTAGAACTTTTCTCTCTTGTGCAAAATTGATCTAATACTTTAGCACATTGCTTGCCTATTAATTAAAAATAGAAAGATAAGTTAGTCAAAATCAATGAGAAGCCACTTATAACAATCAGAATTTTGCTAATTTAAGTAAATAATAAATGAAAGGTATTTTTAAAAGACAGAAAACAATCTTCCTATACATCAAAGGGGAGGATGTACAGTATGTATCTGTGTCATAAATATACAATGGAAAAACCAAATACTCTGCTCATTACTTAATGCCTTTCATGGGATTGTAAGTTTTTTGGGCTTTCCTTTTCATGTTTGTTTCATTTTACCTGAAGAATGGCTTCCTTTTTATTTTAAAGAAATGTCTATATCAAAAATGTTATCATATTTTTTAGTTCTCATAGTATACATATAACTATGCTTCAAAAATTTAAAGAGATATTTTAATTGGTCTACTTCAGCCTATGGAATTATTTTATATTGAAATAGTTATATGTAACCAGAAAGAGGAACATTTTCAAAATACCAATGCTAGCTTATGCCCAAGTTTTTAAAGAGACATTCCGGGTTTTATGTATGAAGCAACTGTAATGAAGATAATAAGGACTAAGAAGATCAGTATGCACCTACTTGGAGTTCCATTTTCAGACTGATGGCATAAAGGCAGTTGTTCAATTTAAAATGGAATTATCGTCCAACACTGTTATTTTAATATCACATAGAAAACTGACCCTAAGTTTTCCAAGAATTACTCACAAACAGTACAGACACATCCAAACATATACCAGACAACACTTCATATGTTAAGCTTCACTGAAGGGAAACATAAGCTTTGAAGAATTATAATTTATAAGTTACAGATAACTAAAGTTTTCTTACATACAAATTTCTTCTGTAAAGCATTTATTGAGCTTTTATAATTATATTCTTTGTACAGAGACCCAGAAATATGCATATTTATTAATAACATGTTTATCATTATAAACATTAATACCACATTATATTATATAATGCTGCTCCAAAAGGTAGTTCTTCTGTTTATAGTTTTTCTGTTCTATGCCTTAGAAAACACCTGCAACCTAATATTGTCTCACTATTTTTTTAACTGCTCCTTCTATTATAGAAAGCGAAGAACTAAGGTGGTTTCACTTCTTCAAATAAAATTAATTAATTAATGGGCTTTATGGCCAATAACTGGCTGTTCAAGGATTTCTTTCTTTTTACATGAACCAATTCTGGTCCTGCTTAATGTTCTTACTGAAACCTTGAATATTCAATAAGGAAAATGAGTGAAATACATATATATACATATTTTAATAAATAAATTTGAAAATTTTATCATAGTATGAAAAAATATGACTTGAAAAAATATGATAATAAGATAGATTTATAAGGGACTGTTCAAACATTTGACCAACAAATAAAACAAATTAACACTCAATCCCTTAGTATTCTGTATGATTTATTTGTGATACCAACAATTTTGATTGTGCTGGAAAAATATCTTAGTAGAAAGAAATGAAACAAATGCAATCATGAATTTTGAAATGGGATAAATTTACATTCAAATCCCAAATATTGTTCAATGTTTTGAGACACCTCAGTCGAGTTACCTAATGTCTTGAAGATTTTTTTTCTGTCATAAAATTGGGATTCCTCCTTGGATTAAATAAGGACATTTTTAAAAATGGAAAAAACCACCCAGTATCATAATTAACACATAATAGGAAATAACGTGAACATTATGACTTGTTTTTAGATGTCCCCCCAAAGCCTCATGCAGTCATAGGTGAGGCTTTTCCAGAGGTGGCTGAACCTAGAATGTGTGACTGATTCATGGTCTAATGCTAGGATTAATGGTGCTATGATTAAGGATGGGGTGATTACTAAATTAGTTCACTGACTATTTTGGCACTGGCCTAATCCTGGTAGCCTGGATATAATATAAGGGACAGAAAGAGGCTTGCCTTCCCCCCCACCTTGCTTGCTTTGCTGCCTTCTCCCCACCATGAACTGTTTCTCCTCTGTAATACCTGTTTGCCATGACACCTTACCTTAGAGCCAGTTGATTATGGACTGAAACCTCGACAAACTGTAACCTAAATAAACATTTCCTCCTTTAACTTTGGATTTCAGATATTTTGCCTCAGAAATGAGAAAAGTAACTAAGAAAATGAATTTTAAATTGTGATAAAATTTGATATCTTAGAGTGGTGGGACAGATCGAATAGAATAACATATAATAGTACTACAGATAAAATTTTGGATCAGAGATTTAGCTCAGTGGTGTTGCATCTGCCTCACAAATGCAAGGTACTAAGTTCAATCCCCAGTTCCACACACACACACACACACACAAAAAGATTTAGAAATTTGGACTGTCTGCTCAAGTAGAGTGCAGAGATGCTTTTGTGCCAGAAAACTGTCAAAGAGTTTTACTTAATAGTAACTAGAATAAAAATCAATACTAATTTGTGTCTGCCAAGAAAGCTAATATTGCTTTCCTCTTTATTGACAGAAGATGGATGAGGCAGACTTTCTCTATTCTGCATAATCTATGACCAGGTACAGAAACTGAAGAGTCTTCAAATGGTATCACAATATTAATGAAAATAAAATGACATATTGAGACTATTTAAAAGAATAAATGATGCACAATAATTGAGCCAGAAAGAATACAAGTAAAACCTCTTTGTTTCCAAGTATTTTGATGATTTTCATAAAGAATAGATAAGAGACTTCCATATTATTCAGAAGAATGTATTGAAATCAATGAACAGAAGACAGAACAGACGTTGTTCAAGATAATAAAGAGCTTCCTAAATGGCAGTCATAAATGGATTGGGTTTATTTAGGCATTAGACCTGTCTTTTAATTATCAATGAGAAGCACTGACTTGTTGATTGGTAAAATTAAAGTGATTAAAATATAAGCAAAACTAATCTTATATAGCATTGAATTAATAAAATAGAATACATTTTTATGTATGATTTTGGACTATAGTGGGAGTAATTCTTGCATGTAATATTTTAAGAGACCTCTTCTGATGGCTAACAAAATAAGCTTATGTATGTTAAGACTAAAAGTAAAATTCTATTCAATCCAGTTATTCTCTTTCTAGGTGTCTTCTTGAAAGAGTTAAAGACATCAGATTACAGTGATACATGCACACCCATGTTTATAGAAGTGCAACTTATAACAGCTAAATGTTAGAAGCAAGGTATATGTTCATCAACAGATAAATGGATAAAGAAAGTGTGGTGTTTGTACACAATGGAGTACTATTCTGCCATAAAGAAACTTGAGTCATTTGTAGGAAAATGGATGTTCCTGGAGACCCCAATGTTAAGAAAAATAAATCATATATACAAACATAAATATCACATAGTTTCCCTTATAGGAGAAAATACAACATAAAGAGCAAAATAAAAGGTAGATAATAGAAAATAGGAAGATAGATCTGTTGCAAAAGAGAATGAGATGAAGACCTGGAGGGAGGGTGGAAGGAGGGGAAGGAAAAGTGATGAGAAAAAGAATTCAGATGTGTTATGTGCATGTACCAACTCCTCACAAGGAAATTAATCATTATGTACTGCAAACATGTACTAATGAAAATTTAAAAAAATAAAAAAAAATTATTCTTAAAGTGTACAGAAAGGGAGGCTTCAAACTTATTGTAATGATACTTCCATCAGTGGAAATAGTCTAGATGCCTTTCAACCTCAAGATTCAATTTATAAGCCTATATTTTTACTGCATAGTCAAAGTATAATATCCACTTTCATATTCTGTTAC